GCAGTGGCCCCAAAAGGGGTACAAATGAGACACGAACCACAAAGAAAAAGAAAGACAAATCACAAAATCCAAAAATGACATGCAGAACAAAGAAGAAGAAAATCTTAAAAACAGTGGTGGTATCAAAACCAAATAAGAAAGAAGGGCCTTCTTACAAGAAGAATTACTGTTTGTTTTGTTCGAAACCCATGTACAAAATGTCAAGACATCTTTCAAAAGTTCACAGTGACAAAGCTGAAGTTGCCTTGGCGTTCCAGCATCCTGTAAATTCCAAGGAAAGAAAAAGAGTTTGGGAAAAACTAATAAAAGAAGGAAACTTTGCTCATAATAAGGACGTTTTAAAAACAGGAAAGGGAGAGCTCATTGCACAAAGAAGACCCAGAAAACTGTCAAAATCAACAGACTTCGTCCCGTGTGTTCACTGTCTTGGTCTCTATAGAAAAAAATCAATGTGTGTCCACATGAAAAGGTGCTTTTCAAATGGAAAGAGGGAAGATATATCAAATGGGAGAAAAAGAGTCATATCGCAGTGTGTACTTCTAACAAAAAGCTGTGGTGACCTAAGTGAGGAGTTAAAGAACATCCTAGGTGAGATGGTATATGATGAGGTGACAGAAACTGTGATGGAAGACCGATTAATTCTGCAGTTTGGAGAACACATAGCTAATGAAGTTCGCAGCACGAACAAGAATGAATATGTAAGACAACAACTTCGAGCTGTGGGAAGACTTGTGCTAGAGGCCCAAAGGTCCACCCCTATGCAGAATCTGGAGGATTTCTTTGACCCCTCCAACTTCCATCATGTGGTGTCTGCTGTGAAAGTTTTAGCAGGTTATGACTCAGAAAAGAAAACCTACACCCTTCCATCAATGGCTAATAAGCTTGGTTACAACCTAAAGAAGATCTGTGGCATTGTACAGCAGAATGCCATTAAATCTGGTGATACCAAAGTCCAAAGGTCATGCAAAACCTTTCTCTCTTTGCATGATAAGAAATGGAGGAGACTCATTTCATCACATGCTTTAACAAGTATGAAGAATTCTAAAAGGAAAAATGAAAAAAATGTGCCATTTGCCGAAGATGTGAAATGTCTGTATTACCACATGGAGACTGCCTATCATCTTGCTGAGAAGAATCTCAGAGAGAACGTTTGTCCAGAAAGCTACGCTGCCCTGGCCAGTGTAGTACTGGCTCAGACCATTGCTTTCAACAGGGGGAAATCTGGAGAGGTCTCATCAATAACAGTAAAGGCCTTCATGTTACGAAAAAGGTCAGAAGTTCTCGATGACTTGGACGTTTCTGTGTCAAATTTGGAAAGAACCTTGTGCGGTTTCTTCAGTAGAGTAGACATCAGAGGAAGCTCTGGGAGAATTGTCCCCATTTTGCTAAAGCCTTCGTTTGAGTCGGCTATGGAGCTTCTGATAAAAGTCCGTGACAAATGTGGAGTCCACAGTGACAACCCCTTTGTGTTTGCACGAACGTGTGGACCAACTGCCTATCGTGGGTCAGACTGTATCCAGAAATACGCTAATGGATGTGGAGCTAAAAACCCCAAAGCTCTGACATTGATGAAACTTCGTAAACATTTTTCCACAATGCTACAGCTGATTCACCTGGATGAAAATGAGGCCCAACAGATTTTTGGCCCTAATAATCAGATCCAGTCAATGGTGCAGAACAACCTGTGTGTAAATACAGAAATGCAGTCTGAAGGTAATCATTTTTGTTTGTAGATGATTCAACTGTATATGTATAGATCAGTTGTTAAATTTTAAATGTTAGTTTTAAATACTGTGGTGAAAGTAAACAAAATGAGAAACCAAAAAAATCTCTCTTTCCTCCCCTCAGGCCCAGACTCACGCCCCAAAACCAAGCATATATGGAATGAAACAGAGGTTCTTGCTGTTGAAAAACACCTGATGCAGTTCATTACCAATCAAAAGATACCTCAGAAGGACGACTGCGTTCGTTGCCTCGAAGCTGAGCCACTTGCTCTGAAGAAACGTACATGGAAAGGAGTGAAGTACTACGTCAGAAGCCGGATCAGGACTGTGCAAAGACAAACCGGCTTTATAAAGGTCTCATCAAAAACCAGTGACGGGCAGAAGGAACCATTGCAATAATTTCTCAGACAATTTATAGTCCAGTAAAATTTGTTATTGTGACAGGCATGTTAAGTTAGTTTTTACTGGTGAAAAAATAACAAACTTGTAAATTATGAGCTTTGACAAATTTCTCAGCGTCAACTAGAAATCTGTAACAATTTTCTGATTGTTTAACCTCAGATGAGTTGGACATTAGTGCATGTTGGTCATATTTGTTGCAAAAACTGAACAATTAAAACTTTGACCCTTTGGACTCAGACAGTTGGTGTTCTGGAGAATCTGAAGGTAACAAGGTGCAGCTTTGCGTAAGCAAGCTTTACATTTTTAAACCCTCCTGCTTCCTTTGGGTCAAAAAGACTCAGTTTTAAAACTGTGGCCTCAGAAGTCATTTTGACCTAAAGACAGCAGGTGGGTTGAGTCAAATATGGAGAAACTGAATAAAGATATTTTCTGCAATTACCTAAATTGAATTGGAATTGATTTTATATGCTTTATAGATTTTCTGTTTATAATTTTTTGATTTCTTTTGCCTTTTTCAGGAAACAGAAAATGGCTGGGATGATGCTGATTCTGATTACATTAATGACAGCCTTTCAGATTGTCAGTCTGAGGATATTGGCGACTCTGAGGTTTATGATAGTGGCAGTGGCCCCAAAAGGGGTACAAATGAGACACGAACCACAAAGAAAAAGAAAGACAAATCACAAAATCCAAAAATGACATGCAGAACAAAGAAGAAGAAAATCTTAAAAA